CCCAGCAGGAATCCCGCAAGGCAGTCTGCTGGGCCCCTTGCTTTACAGCATTTATACTTCCGACATTCCTCCCCTTGGAGACGGTTGCGTGTTCTTCCTGTTCGCAGATGATACCGCAATAGCCGTCAAAGGAAGGATGCCTCGCGAAATAACGAACAAACTTCAACGATGCCTTAACGCCTTTGCTGATTATGCCATCACGTGGAAAATTAAAATCAATCCCTCCAAAACACAAGCGATCATGTTCCTACATCGGCAATCGCCCAAACTGAAACCGGCTCCATCTTGTACTGTAATCATGGATGGCACAAGGGTTGAGTGGTCCGCCGAAGTAACCTATCTCGGGATGTTGATCGATGAAAAGCTCCTCTTCCGTTCGCATGTAGAGAAAACTGTAGTCAAGTGTTCTACCTTGGTTAGGTGTCTGTATCCGCTGATTTGCCGCAGATCCCGCCTCTCAAGGGTGAACAAACTGGCCGTCTACAAACAAATCATAGCACCTGCGATCCTCTACGCAGCTCCGGTGTGGGAATCATGTGCACAGACTCACAGGAACAAAATTCAGGTCGCTCAGAATAGAGTGCTGAGGATGGTTCTTGATCGTCCTTTCGACACTAGAATAACAAATTTACATGAAGAGGCAGGCATTGCCAAAATAGATTCCAAAATTAACGAAATTAAGACTAAATTTGCACAAAAATGTAATTTATCAGAACATGCTTTGATAAGCAATTTGTATATAGTAGGTTAGGTGTACATAGTAGTTGTAGGTTAGTTGTAGTTGTAAATAGTAGTTATAAGTAGTCTCCTTTTTCAAATTTTCAAACAAACCAATCCCACCAAGGTGGTCATTCTCTAAAACAGGCCTGATAGGACTAGGAACTGTAAATAATAATTAAAATCTCACTGTACTAAAGTTGAAAAGACGCATCTGTGTCACTTGTAAAATTCATACATGTAAACCACACAAACACAAGAAATAAAGATCATTTAACTAAAAAAAAAAAAAAAACTAAAAAAAAACTGGTATCAGCTCATTTTCGCTTCGGACGGCGTGGTGAGCAATAGTAGCAGTAGGTCGTGGCAAAGGAGGTGCCAATCGTCATAGCAAATTCTTCGAGATAACCACCATCCGTCGTCTGGCTCGCCGTCGCAGTGTCTGACGTATCTCCGGTCTGATCTACGAGATGTGCTGAAGGTGTTCGTGGAAAATGAGGTCCGTGATGCTGTCACCTACACTAAACACGCCAAGCGTAAGTGGCCATGGATGTCCTCTTCAATAAAACGGCCCTTTTCAGGGCCATCAAGCTTACATCAGTAAAGAGTTGGAATAGAATTTATCTATGCTTGTTTGTCCATATTCAGAACCACAAGCCCCCAACGACCACACAAACTTGGAAGCAGGGGTGCAAGAGATTTTGATTGATTCTCGTAATCAACTTTCTTTTTGAAAAAGATTACTACAAATTTGGATCGTCTACAATTCAAAACCGGAAAGAGTTGAGATAATAGATATTTCAGGCATAACATTTGATAACGGCACAAAAGCATTTGTAAACAAACCTTCTTAGGCCCTTTACACGCGAACTAAAGTACGCCCACGCAAACCAACAACATCATCGCATAGGGGCAACTATCACCCTTCCGTAAGTGGTATTGGTTTGCGTGGGCGTACTTTAGTTCGCGTGTAAAGGGCCTTAGAATGTTTGTTTACAAATGATTTTGTGCCGTTATCAAATGTTATGCCTGATTTGATCAATTAAAAGAACTTAATGCTCTTCACATTTATTCCATCCACTAGCGGTCCTACGTCAAGCTTCCGTTTGTGCCCCTAGGCACAGACCCTTCTACTTTTTTTGCTGTGTAGCCTCAAATCACTGAAGGAAATTTTGGCATGCCCTGTGGGCAATGTTTATTTGTATGTAAAACAAATGCCCTGGTGACGTTACAGTGCAAGAGTTAATTAGTGTTTTAATTGATTATTATCGTTTCAATTGAAACCCGATTTTACTCTTGTTCTATACGTTAAACATAACGTCGGCCATAGAGATTGCTAAAGTATGATTGTGTCAGTGATTTGTTTTCATCGGGAAAATTTTCTGCTATGAAGTATTTTTTCCCGATGAAAACATTTTGCGTATACGTATACGTGACGTAGTGTGCGTACGATAAACGTCAGCAATCTCTATAGTGTGCTGTAAAGAGCCTGAATTTATAAAAAGGCGACATCTTATCCATTTGACAGGTCTTCTGCTCGTTTGGAATGACTTTTCCTATGACTTTGACAGACAATCGATTGTTCCAATTTTGACATGTCGTCTCTTTATAAATTCAGGCTCTTTAGTGTGCTGTATACCGCATCAGTGTACATCAGGAAACATCTACATTAGAAAACATCAGAAAACGTTTACATATAAAAACATCCGAACAACGTTTAGTTCTAACGTTTTGTACATCCGAAAACATCCTTAAAACGTTTGGTTCTAATGTCAATAGATTGAAATTTTTGACGTCAGACCGACATTAGAATGGTAAAATTTTGTTCCAAAATTTCTGATGTATACACCATGTTACATAATGTTTTCTAATGTTTGACATCAGGCATACATTTGATTTCGATGCTGATGTAGACATCAAAATCAAACGTTGGGCTAATGTAAATTTCTATTCGGGCCATCAACAACCGGTTTCGCCTCAGGGGCGTACGTCACCAGTTCGATTCCAGCGAAGCCGGCACTTTGCCGTTCGATTTAATGGCTATGCAAGCCATAATTCGTGCTGCAATTCGTTTGATGGAGAAGGATTCAAGGAATATCGATCTTCCAGTTGTGGAACGAGCGTCCGATCGCCTTGCGGCGGTTGATGTAGAGCTTCCAAACATCGCTGTACGAACACGTCTCGCCAACCGAGGGTGGTATGAACCCAAGCCGGGATGTGAAACGGCGGGTGAAAGCTGGGGATCCCCCGAATACAGTGCGTCCCATCGTGCAGGAGTTGCTGGCCAACCGGTTTAACCAAAGATGAATACCGTGCTTTGGCTATTTATATGGATGGTTCTAAATACGATAAAATAGTTGGAGCAGGTGTATTTAGCAGCAGTGTTTTCGGCGGCGCCAGGGTGTTCTGAGGCATAACCAAAGGGGGAGGTGGCTGTCAAATACGAACAATCGTCGTCTACCTCGCATAACTGGTTCCAAACGTAAGCAAGGCATAAAAAAGCTACAGGGTTTGTTTACGTTTGGAACCAATTTTTCTTACAAGAATGATCAGTAGGCTGATTTGACAGCACGTCCCACCCCAGGGCATAACATCTCTGACCACGCCCTCCTTCTTCGGAAGGGAAGTAACCTTCCTGGCGTCGGTACACACTAACTTTAGATTACTGGAGTCAGTAAAATTTTACTGGGTTTTTGAATTGCGGATCGCCCAGTAGTCATCACAGAAATAATTTGCATTACCGAACTGTCCGTAAAGTCAATCTGTCAAAAATAACTGTTCATTCAGTAATTGGTTCGAGTTGCGTATACTGGAAAACCCAGTAGTTTCTTTTTGTTTATTTTGCTGCAATTTAACTGAAAAGACAGTTATTTGGTTCATTATTATACCGTGTTACCCAGTTAATTTAAAAGTAGTGAATTTGCAGTCATAAAAGCATGAATCCTGGTGCAATTCACCGTTTATAATATGCCAATTAATATGACGACTTAATCCCTTGACGTACCCCGGAATAGCGCGTCGACAGTGAAAGCAAACAATGCAAACATCCATTTTGTTAATCAAAATTTGTTGGAGATCAAGGAACTGCAAAAAGAGTAAATAATAATTGTTGGTACTAACGAAATAGTACTTCAATTTCGCTGTCGAGCTTTCTCAGTTCCGTCATGATATAATTCAAGTTTTAACAAAACCGCGCGATTAAACACTTGCTCCCGGATTTTACTGAAGCTAAAATGGCGGCGGGAATAAAATTGACAGTTTAGAGTTTTACAATTCGTGGTCGGTAAAACAAGGTGGCTATTCTGCTGACCAGTCGGTAAAAAAATAAAGACTACTTTGTGCACAGTAATTATTTTTACTGACTTTTCGTGAAATCACGAAAATTTGGAAAATAACGACTTTCTCAGTAAATAAATATTCTGTGTACAGTATTTTGCATCAAACGATACCGAAGTTCAGTTTGTGTTTTACAGAACATCGGTTATTCACCTGATTTAAACTGAATTTTCAGTAAATCTTTCGTTTTACCGTTTAAGCCCAGTACAAAAAAATACCGAACAACTAAATGCTGGATTAGTGTGTAGCATTGGTGCTCAGCACGGAAAACAAATCAAGGAAAAAAATCTAGAAATTTGTTTCGCTTAGCTCTAGCAATGCAATGAGAAAATAGATGTAGAGAATCGATCATCGCGTATACGCCCTTATGCCTGATCACTGTCGAATTATTTACAAGGGCGGGTGGGGGGAGGGAGGTGGCTGTCAAATACGAACAATCTTCGCCTACCTCGCATAATTGGTTCTTAACGTAAGCAATTGCTTAAGCCATAAGAAACCTACAAGGATGTCTACATCAAAGCAGCCGGACATTCTTGATCGGGATTTAATCCGAGGATAATACCGGTGCACCATGAATGAGTTAAGCCACTTCAAGCTGAACATTGCATTAGGTCCTAAGTAACATCTACAGATTCTCTTCGTCGATTTTCTCTTTATATCTCCATGGCCATTTTAAGACATTCACAGGTATTTTCAGTACACAGGTTGGTATCCTCGAGGATAATACCGGTGCACCATGAATGAGTTAAGCCACTAAGTATGGAAGAAAAGTCTTTTCTTCAAAATGTGAATTTTTTTACCCATTAATGGGCTCTTTCAAGTTAGCGTGAAAAGAGTGTCGATGAAGAGAATCTACCAATGTTACTTAGGACATAATGCATTGTTCAGCTTGAAAATGTGCAGCAAAACTGTCAAAATTTTCACTTTCGTCCTTAAAGGTTCATCTTTGGTGACACGTTTCTGCGGTTTCTGCCTAGAGCTGGTAAATTTTGTATCGGCTGCAGGTTTTACACGGGAAAATCGGTTCATATCTGGAAATACGCTCAATTGCTTGACGCAACCGGCAAATGATGGCTACTAAGTTGGTTACTAGCTACAACGAACCTGCAATCGGTAGGTTATTCTCCATAATATGAATTTTATTAGGTTACAAAAAAGTCCTAAAATGGATAATACTTTTAGGTGGTTTGATTGCGGCCGAGCTGATCAAAAGTACGAATCCCATTGGAATTAGCTGGGGAAATGAAACATCGATCACCTTTTCCAATCGCACGCTGGTTTGTGTGACAAACAACGATGTTTTGCGATCGCTGGCACGGGATGCTCCCAAGTATCAGTTGTACGGGAAGACACCGATCGAGCGAACGCAGATTGATCATTGGCTCACCTATACCCTTTCGGTGGAGAAAGATCCGGCGGATGAGCTGAAGTATCTCAACAAATGTTTGGCACCGTTGACGTACCTGGTTGCGAATCATCTGACGATTGCTGATCTGGCCGTTTACAATCAGTTGTACGGCAGTTTCGAGGAACTAAAAGCTATAGGTATTCCAGTGCATGTCGAGCGCTGGTACAATTTGATCTCTGCCCAAGAAGCCGTGATAAATGTGTTGAAGAATTTACCCAAGGAAGCCAAGCTGACAAAGAGAATGCAACGTGGAGGAAGTGCTGATAAATCATCCGATCGAAAGCAGGAAGGAAAGTTCGTCGATCTACCGGGTGCTGAAATGGGGAAGGTCGTTGTGCGTTTCCCGCCGGAAGCTTCCGGTTACTTACATATCGGGCACGCCAAGGCGGCCCTTCTGAATCAATACTACCAGCAAGCATTCCAGGGTAAACTGATCATGAGATTCGACGATACGAATCCCGCCAAGGAGAATGTTCACTTTGAAAAAGTAATTCTGGAAGATTTGGAAATGCTGCAAATTAAGCCGGATTTGTTTACGCACACTTCTCAGTATTTTGATTTAATGTTGGACTACTGCGAGCGGTTGATGAAGGAAGGGAAGGCTTACGTTGACAATACCGAGCCGGAGCAGATGAAGAAGGAACGTGAGGAAAGGATTGAATCCAATAATCGAAGCAATTCGGTCGAAAAGAATCTGCAGATGTGGAAGGAAATGGTGAACGGAACGGCGCTCGGTCAAAAATGTTGCGTGAGAGCTAAGATTGACATGGCATCTCCGAATGGATGCATGCGTGATCCAACAATTTACCGATGCAAGAACGAACCTCATCCACGCACCGGAACCCATTACAAAGTTTATCCGACGTATGACTTTGCCTGTCCGATCGTTGATGCAATTGAAGACGTGACGCACACGCTGCGAACAATGGAATATCATGACCGAGATGATCAGTTCTATTGGTTCATTGAGGCGCTGGGATTGCGTCGTCCGTATATTTGGGAGTACAGCCGACTGAACATGACCAATACGGTTCTATCAAAGCGAAAATTGACGTGGTTTGTGGATAGTGGCCTCGTTGATGGATGGGACGATCCACGTTTCCCTACGGTTCGGGGTATTCTTCGTCGTGGCATGACCGTCGAGGGATTGAAGGAGTTTATCATTGCACAAGGTGGAGTATAGATAAAATCGTTTTGGAATTTAACTTGAACCAAAGTAAATATGCTTTCAGGATCGAGTAAATCCGTCGTATTTATGGAGTGGGACAAAATCTGGGCTTTCAACAAGAAGGTCATTGATCCGATTGCTCCACGCTACACGGCTTTGGAGAATGAAAACCGTGTGGTGGTGAATGTTGAAGGCGCCAAATTAGAGGCCGTACAAGTTCCAGTACATCCCAAGAATGCCGATATCGGAACGAAAACGGTATGGCTTGGTCCCCGTGTACTGATCGATTACGCCGACGCAGTTGAATTGAAGGAAGGCGAGAATGCTACCTTCATCAATTGGGGCAATTTGATGATTAGGAAAGTTCATAAGGATGCCAGTGGTAAGGTCACTTCGGTGGATGCCACTTTAAACTTGGACAATAAAGACTTTAAGAAGACGCTCAAGTTGACATGGCTTTGCGAGCAGGACGCTTCGGAATATCCGCCAACGTTCTGCGTGTACTTTGATCACATCATTAACAAAGCGGTTCTTGGCAGAGAAGAGGACTTCAAAACCTTCATTGGTCATCAAACGAGGGTAAGATGGTAAGCAAATTGTTGGCATGTAAGTATCTAATCCTTTTGATTAAACTCAGACTGAGGTGCCAATGTTGGGTGATCCTGAGCTGAAGAAGCTCAAGAAGGGCGATATCATTCAACTTCAGCGTCGCGGTTTCTTCAAGGTAGACCAAGCGTTCAAGCCGGCCAGTGAGTTTAGTGCCGTTGAAACGCCCGTTGTGCTGTTTTCCATCCCCGATGGTCACGCCAAGGAACAGCCGACCGCGGGTGCTCCGAAGAAGGCCACCACTGAAAATGCGAAGGTAAGTTTGCTCAATGATTTTGGTTTTAAAAGAATAGGTGACATACTTTTACTGTATGATAACATTGGTACACTGCCACTAGTATGTCGCATGCGGAAAAATTAAATTACATATCAATGGTTAGGATTGATCGCAATGCGATTCAGTGTGCCCGCCGCGCAGATGGTTTCCCTGAAGTCTACACTGAAAACGCATCTCACTCAGAGGGTGAGTCATTTTTACTCATTCGTATGATTTTTTTTTTCTAAAAGCAAGTTGAGTGACCTACGAAATTTATTTATACTAATGAGTAAAAGTGACTCACTCTTTGAGTTAGTTTCGTTTTCAGTGTACTCGTTCTACACGATTTGATTCAAAGCTTTGAAAGTTTAAATCGAAGAGAGGCAGGCAGAATAACAAAAGTCGAGTGAACAAGCACGCCTCCCTCCAGCCCCTGTAAGTACGTTAAGCTACGCCTGAGTCGCTTACGCGTCAAGTGAAAGGGAATGAACTTTGCCACATTTTAAGTTTTGCTTCCATCAGTAAAATATTGTGCTCCGTTCGAACGTGATTACTTTGGAGTTTATTTCTTATTTATTGCATCATTGTGTACGAATTTTATCTTATCGATACCGTTTTCAATTGTAACGATTTCATTCTTTCAGAAACAGGCGAATTCTACCAGCGGAACAGCACCCAAGTCGACACCGAACTCTGCTGCTAAAATTAACGATCAAATTGTACAACAGGGCGATAAAGTAAGAAAGCTCAAGACTGACAAAGCTGCCAAACCGGAGGTTGAAGCCGCTGTGAAGGCTCTGCTGGAACTGAAGACCAAGTTCAAGGAAGCAACCGGTCAGGATTGGAAACCAGGTGTAGCTGTTCCGGCTCCAGCTGTGACAGCACCACCCAATACAGGCACCTCGGTCGAAACCCTCAACGGCAAGATTGTCGAACAAGGTAACTTGATCCGCGATTTGAAGACGAAGAAAGCAGCCAAGGCCGACGTTGAAGCAGCGGTGAAAGTATTACTAGATCTTAAAGCACAGTATAAAGCTGCCAGCGGCAAAAACTGGACACCAGAGGCAGCCCCAGCACCAGCACCAGCACCCACACCCGCATCCGTCAAAAAGGAATCCAATCCTGCTTCTGCCGACATCAGCGACAAAATTGTTAAGCAAGGTGATATAGTACGGGATTTGAAATCGAAGAAGGCAAACAAAGCTGAAATTGATGTGCAGGTTAAGTTACTGCTAGATTTGAAGGCCTTATACAAGGCAACTATGCATAAGGATTGGAAACCAGAATGTGCTCCACTGACTGAATCGAAAAGAAGTGCACCTGCGCCATCCGGAAACGCAGAAACTGACCTGTTGGAGAAAATTGCCGCGCAAGGTGACAAAATTCGCACGCTGAAAACGAACAAGGCCGACAAAGCTGCTGTGGACGGTGAAGTGAAGGCACTACTGCAGCTGAAAGCCGATTATAAGACGCTAACTGGTAAGGACTGGAAACCAGGCACTGTCGCGCCAGCATCGATTGCTAAGAAGGACAAAGAAAATATGACACCGACAAATAATGAGAAATCCGGTTCGGAAAAGGACGCCCTGACTGCCAAGGTCAACGCCCAAGGTGAAGCGGTTCGAAATCTGAAATCGTCTGGTGCCTCCAAGGAACAAGTCGATGCAGCTGTGAAAGCATTGCTCGACTTGAAGGCCGAATATAAAAAGTTAACCGGAACTGATTTCCCAGTTGCGGGACGCACTCCGAAGCCAGTAACGGCCAAGAAAGAAGCAAAAAAAGTAGACAAACCAATGGCCAAGCACGAACCCGCCAAGCCGAAAGATGATGGCAGCGGACCGAAGAAGCAAACCCGGCTCGGTTTGGAAGCTACCAAGGAGGGCAATCTGCCCGATTGGTACTCGCAAGTTATTACCAAGGGAGAAATGATCGAATACTACGACGTGTCCGGGTGCTACATTCTGCGCCATTGGTCATTTGCCATTTGGAAGTCGATCAAGGCTTGGTTTGATGCGGAGATTACCAAAATGGGGGTCAAAGAGTGCTACTTTCCCATTTTTGTCTCGCGAGCTGCATTGGAACGGGAAAAGGCGCACATTGCCGACTTTGCTCCGGAGGTGGCCTGGGTCACCAAGAGTGGAGAATCGGATCTGGCCGAACCAATCGCTGTGCGCCCTACGTCAGAAACGGTTATGTACCCGGCGTACGCCAAGTGGATTCAGTCCTATCGTGATTTGCCGATCAAGTTGAACCAGTGGAACAATGTTGTGGTATGTGTTGAACGGTTTGTGGGAAGGAGGTGTTGATTACGTTGATTTTTTTTACAGAGGTGGGAATTTAAACACCCGCAGCCATTCCTGCGTACTCGTGAATTCCTATGGCAAGAAGGACACACCGCATTTGCCGGTAAATCCGAAGCTGAAGAGGAAGTGCTGCAGATTCTAGGTGAGTTAGTTGTTGCGGAGTAAGCGTACAGGCTAGTGGTGCACCGAATATTCGGCCACAATAGTGTTTGGCACGCCATGGCGGCCACTTGTTAGGTGGTAAATGGCCGAATATCAGTATTACAAGTAGGTACGGGTGACTGCCTCTCACTCCAAAGGTTCTGAGTTCCTTCGGGGCCGTTGGTCCTCGGTCGATTAGTTGATGGGTCGATAGGTAGGGTCCAGGAGTGGAAGCTGCCTCCCTGGCGTCGGTAGCATTGGTACTCAATACGGAAATCAAGATCGACGAAACACAAATCAAGGGAAAAAGTAGCTTCTTTCATCTATCTGTGAGCTGAAAATAGCTGGGGATGAACCTTATACAAGTTTGGGAAACTTTGTTGAAGTTATGAAAACGTTGGTTAATTTTAAGAGACTTCATAAAAGTTCTTCTAACTTCAGGGCACTTCTTAAAACTTAAAATAATTTCTTAAGACTTAGTAGAAGTCAAACGTCAATTCCCGTGCCTTCAACTCACCTCAAACATCTGCCAGTCGGCAACATGGAGCCATCACAGTCAACTGCTCTCCGGAACGCATTCTTGCCGTTTGCCCTGAGGAAGCCCCTATTCCGCTTATCACAGTCGAGCCCCTCCTGCCAGCGGCCAGCAGTTGTCCTGGCCCTGCGTTTAAGATGGAAGAAGGGGTCTTCCACATTCCTGTTATTGGCAAGTAGGATCAACCGACGAATATATTATCGCCTGAAAATATCTTGGTTTCCAGCGGCCTGAACCTTCCATTGTTCCCGAACAGCGGAGGTCGGACATAACGATTTACTATCAGAACGTTGGTGGTATGAACGGCCTCGTGGAAGATTATCATCTGGCCGTCATAGATCACTGCTACGACATTTTAGTTTTGACCGAAACATGGCTCAATTATCGAACCATTTCAAACTATGTCTTTGGTGCTGGCTACGAAATATTTCGTTGCGATCGAAACACGAATAATAGTAGGAAAACTACTGGGGGAGGCGTAGAGCAGAAGTTATCGAGGACGATTCCTGGAACACGGTTGAACAAGTGTGGGTGGCTATTCAACTTGGTGATCGTCAATTGCTTCTCTGTGCCGTGTACATCCCTCCAGATCGAACCCGTGACTTGGAGCTTATTGACGCACATTGTCGATCCGTCTTGGTCGCTTCAGACAAAGCAGGCTCTTCCGATGAAGTTATTGTTTGTTAGTGCTCGTGATACAGCTCCTTTCCTCTCCACGGCAGCCTAACCTTTAGTCAAGGAAGTGCATCATCACCCTGCTTTACTTATCATGATCGAAAATAATATTGTCCATGATTTTACCAGCACTCCAAACGCTGTGTCATATGACTTTTGTAGAGCTGGCCATCGCAGTATTGTCCATGTGCTGTCTAACCTAGATGGGGAGCATATTCTAGATTCTGTAGACGTCAACATTGCAGCCCAAACCCTTTTCTCACGTCTTGGCACATGTCATTGACAGACACGTTTCCAAAAAGATCACCCATATCGACTCTCGCGTCCCGTGGATGACGAAAGATCTTCGCTCGTTGAAAAGAACTAAGACGGCTGCTCTCAGAAGATTTACTAAACTCCGCACACTGCCGCTGGAATGCTACTATGTCAGACTCAACCACGAGTATAAGCGGTTAAGTCGTCTCTGTTTTCAACGCTATCAAAGGAGGATTCAACGACGGCTAAAATCACACCCGAAATCCTTCTGGAACTTCGTAAATGAGCAACGCAGGGAAGTCGGCTTACCCTCTTCCATGATTTTTAACGGTGAAACTGCTGGCAATCAGCAAGACATTTGCAACCTGTTCTCAGCCAAATTTGCTAGAGTGTTTGAAGAGGAGCAACTCTCCGCTAATCTCATTACTTTCGCGGCCAGTAATGTTCCTTTGGTCAACCAAACGCTCAGCATTAGAGCAGCATCTAAACTTCAGACTTCAGCTAAGGCTGAACCCGATGGTGTTCCGTCGATTATTCTTAAAAAGAACATCACTTGTCTTTTAGATCCAATGCGCCGCATATTCCAGCTCTCTCTTTCCAGCGGCATCTCTCCGTCTTGCTGGAAGACTGCGGATATGTTTCAAGCAAACGCGACGTAAACAACTACCGGGGAATCACGTCGCTGAGTGCTGTAACAAAACTTTTTGAATTGGTTGTCATAGAGTCCCTACATGCGCATTGCAAGCAATATCTAAGTATAGATCAACACGGATTAATAACTGGGCGTTCCACAACTACGAACCTGCTGTGCCTAACGTCTTACATCACATACAGCTTGATTGCTCGGACCCAAACGATCTTACAGATCACACAGATCTTACGGCAGCCTTCGATAAGCTAAACCACGAAATTGCTATCGCTAAGCTTGATAGGCTAGGGATCGGTGGAAATCTTTTGAAATGGTTTCGTTCATACCTCACGGAGCGCCAACTGACAGTAACTTTGTGTACTTGTCGCTCAGCAAGCTTCTGCGCAAAGTCCGGTATACCTCAGGGTAGCCATCTGGGACCATTGGTATTTCTCCTTTACTTCGACGACGTTCACCATGTTATAACAGGGCCACGATTATCGTTTGCAGACGATTTGAAAGTTTTTCTACGCATCCACTCACTCGCCGACTGCCGTTCTTTCCAAAATCAGATTGACATCTTTGCTGACTGGTGTAGTCTAAACCGACTGGTGGTCAACCAAGCTAAGTGTACAGTTATTACTTTCTCACGCAAGAAACAACCGATTATTTTCAACTACAAACTACTAGACACGAGTATCGAACGGTGGATTGCGTGAAAGACTTAGGCGTTTTTCTAGACTCAAAACTGACATACTCACACCATCCCCCTTATTCTGCGAGTCACGTGACTCTCTGTCACCGGTGAGGTGACAATTGTCACCTCGTGTGAGGTGACTCACCGGTGAGAGAGAGTCACGTGACTCGCAGAATAGGGGGGCATATATCGTATGTCGTTGACAAAGCGTCCAGAACTCTTGGCTTTGTCTTCAAGATTACTAAGAACTTCACAGACATTTAGTGCTTGAAATCGCTCTATTGCTCTCTCGTGCGATCTACGTTGGAATACTGCTCTGCAGTCTGGAGCCCGAACTACAATAATGGGACCGAGCGAATTGAATATGTGCAACGACGTTTTCTTCGCTTCGCGCTCTGTAACCTGCCTTGGAGATACCCACTTCGTCTTCCAAGCTACGAGAATCGCTGCCAATTGATCAATGTCGAGCCTTTACGTATCCGAAGAGATGTTTTCAGAGCCTTGTGAACATTAATGTTCAACCTCGATCACTACGCAATAGTCTTATGCTGAGACTTCCACTTCTTCGAACTAATTATAACTTATGGAGCGCTATTTACGGCTTGCAGCGAGTGTTCAACCCAGTAGCGTCGATGTTCGATTTCCACTTTACACGGAATATGCTTCGCCGAAGATTCTCCACCGACAAACCGACATGACACTTAATTCTCGACTTAATTCTAACTTATGCCCGAAAATCGTAAACGGCCGATTTAAATGTGCAGTAATCCGAACTGTCAAAACCATAGTAGTTTTTGATCTAGATAAAAATAATTTGTCCAGAATAGATCAAACACGGACCAATTCATAACTTTTGCAAGCGGGTTCATGGCTTAGCTAAATATTTCCGGCGAACACGGAGCCTCGCACGGAGCCAGATGTCTGTAGCATGCTTTGGTTAGAAATTTTATTCTTTTGGTATGGTCATTCATGCCGGTTTGTCGGTGTTAAGTGTAAAATTTAAGACTTATACATTTTTAGTAACTTGACAATGCTTTCCTAGTTATTTTCGTTTGTAACTGTAGTATATGTAGTCTGTATAATCTGTACTTTTTTACAACACATCATTGGGACTATTTCTAGTCTGTTGATGCAAACATAACAAATGAACAAATAAACAAATTACGTAGCAATTCGAGGAACTTCGTAAAACTTCATAGAAGTACAGGGATTTTTTTTTTAATTCAAGACACTTCGTAGGAGTTCAGCAAAAAATTCTAGAAGCTCAGTGAACTTCAAAGAAGCTCTGGAACTTTCGCAGCAACTCAGGGAGTGTTGTAGAAATTCAGCATACTTCTTAGAACTTCAGGGTTTGATTGGGAAAATATGGGAGCTTAGTTTGAATATTACTGTGCAATTCCGGAGAACTTCGTAATTGCTTTTGAAAACAAACACGTCAATCACCGATTGCTCGCTAATTAAAGCTCCATCTCGAAAACTAGCAACACAAACAGGTAGAGGAATGACTCTTCTATCATTTGGTATAGTTTGTTTGCGATATTGAGCTTTTATTCGCGAGCAATCGGCGATTGACGTGTTTGTTTACAAAAGTAATTACGCCCAAATCTCAAAGTTCTCCGGAATTATTTTTTGTCAAAATGCGCCGTACTCAATTTGTCTCAAAAAAAAGCTAAAACGGATCACAATTTTAAGTGAGCAGTAAATTTATTGTTTCATTTAAATTGTGATGTATTGTTGACAAAGGAGTTATTTGCTTGATAGGTCAAATTGATAGGATAGAGCTACCCGGATAAGCGCGAACCATAAATTGACCTTACCTAAAATGGTTAAAATAGTTTATAATCCCTGCTAAACTTTAACTGAAATGGTTATGGAACTTTACATGAACGTTTAATGATAAAGTTTTAACCTTAAGTATTATAGTTTTTTGGAAGTGGACCTTACAAATAATGGGTTGTTAAGAACCATTACCATTCAAAATTCTTGTTTTCTCCATACATTTTCGGAAAGAAAACTATACTAAAACCTTTTAACTTATGGTTTGAGAACATTAATGGTAATGGTGATGATAACCAGTAAGGTCCATGAATGGTTTTGTAACATCGATCAACTTTATGTGGAATATATCGCGAATTGGTTGCCTGTAAATTACTGATTACCAATTCACGATATATTTCACGTAAAGTTGAGCGATAATACAAAACCATTAATGGACCTTACTGACTACCATAACCATAACCATTAATGTTCTCAAACCATAAGTAAAAACGTTCTAATATAGTTCTCTTTCCGAAAATCTATGGAGAAAACCGAGGGGGGCGACACATCTAAATCTCAAGTTTAGATGGTCAAAAAATCTCACACTAGCGTATCAATCTTCGAACAATCTTCTTTCATTTGTCGCATCTACTTGCATCGCTCATCAATTTTTTGCAGAAAATCTTTAGAATCGTCATCAATCTTCTTTCTATATACTCAACGCGTGCGCAGCTAGCCACAGCAAAACACAATCTTTTTTGCATCGTAGATAGAGTCGTCCCCCTCGGAGAAAACAAGAATTTGGAATGGTAATGGTTCTTAACAACCCATTATTTGTAAGGTCCGCTTCCAAAAAACCATAATACATAAGGTTAAAACTTTATCACACAAACCTTCATGTAAAGTTCCATAACCATTTCAGTTGAAGTTTAGCAGGGATTATAAACAATTTATAACCATTATCGGTAAGGTCATGTGATGGTTCGCGTTTATGAGGGTAGTTAAACCTTAATAATGAAGTTTTCAGAGATTGTTGTTGTACAGTCCTCTTCGGGGGTTTTATTTCGCTGACCAAATCCGCAGTACGTCCACTCTTCACGACTATTTGTATATCAATCCCCCTCATTGATGCTCGGTTTCTAATACTCACCAGTCTGGTACTTGGTAAGGCAACATTAACACATTCATACTTATTAGGGTTGTATCCAGGGGTTCATATCGTACATCATAACTCTATTTATTTGTCTGCATCAACAGGCTGTGCCCCAATGATGATTTAAGTAACTTATATAGGTAAATCAAAAAATAAAAACTAAGCATAAAATACATAAATAAAACACACAATCATTCACGGTTAACTGTGCCAGAAAAGAACGATGAGAAGTATCTTCGTAGCAGCTGTCGAGGCATATGGAAATCGAAGATGCCCGAGACTCGATTGCATACTCGTTGCAGCCCACCTATTGCACCGTTCATGCCATAGTTTGTGCGCTGAAGTGGCAATCTCAGCATAACGTTGTTACGTAGCGCACGGGGTTGGACGTTAATGTTGACTTGCCCCAAGATTACACTGCAATCAATTCTACCTTGTTAAGTGTCCGCAATGAACAGGGCCCTAGAGGTGTCTCTTCTAGTTCGGAGAGGCTCCAGATCAATCAGCTGGCAACGACTTTCATAGCTGGGCAGATGAAATGGGTCTCTCCAAGGCAGCTTCCGCAGTGCGAATCGAAGAAAACGGCGTTGAACGGACCGAACTCTCTCAGCACCATTGTTGTTGTTTGGACTCCAGACCACAGAACAATATTCCAGAATGGATCGCACCAAGGAACAGTACCAGTGACTTCAAACAGTAGATATCGGAGAAATTCTTTGCTATCCTGAAGATAAATCCCAGTTTCCTAGACGCCTTGTCGACAACGTACGAGATGTGCTGCTTGTACGTAAGTTGAGAATCCAGAATAACACCCAGATCTTTCACATGGTTCACACGGTCGATTACAGTGCCGATAAGTTTGTATTCAAATGTGATTGGTTCTTTCTTCCGAGTAAAAGTGATCACTGAACACTTAGTGGGGTTAACCACCATTCGGTTCAAATTACACCAGCTGGCAAAGGCTTCGAACTGACGTTGAAGGAAGTGACAGTCATCAATCGAGCGGATTCGTAGGTAGATTTTAAGATCGTCTGCATACGATAGTCGTGGGCCTTCGATGACCAAGTTCACGTCATTGAAGTAGAGTAAGAAAATCAAAGGTCCCAGGTGACTTCCTTGAGGTATTCCTGACGTAGCTAGATAGATATTGGATCGGTTGTCACCAATGGCAACCATCAGTTGCCGATCAGTGAGATATGAACGAAACCATCGCAAGAGGTTGCCGCTGACCCCAAGTCTATGCAACTTGGCAATCGCGATGGCATGGTTTAGCTTATCGAAGGCAGCTGACAAGTCGGTGTATATGACGTTTGTTTGAGTCCTCTCTGCCATGCTTTCCGTAAGATACGATGTCAAACACAGCAGATTTGTGGAAGTAGAACGACCGGAAGTGAAGCCGTGTTGATCACCACTTAGATACTGCTTACAATGAGAGAGTAGAGGCTCCATGATGACTAACTCGAATAACTTCGAAACTGCACTCAACGACGTAATTCCACGATAATTGTCCACATCCCGTTTGCTGCCCTTTTTGTGGATAGGAAACATATGTGCGAATTTCCAACAAGATGGAAATGTACCACTCGAGATGGACAATCGAAATAGGTGAAGCATGGGCATCAGCAAGCTGGCGATATGCTTTTTCAGTAATACGGATGGAACACGCCATCGGGTCCTGGATTGAAGGACGACTTGAGTTGTGATGCGGCAGTGGAAATCATCTCGACGTTGACATCCATCGCACCCAGTGTTTGACCGTACAGTGGAACATTACTAGCTGCTAGGGTAACGTCATCATAACTCTACAATCAGTTTCTCACGGCGTACGAGACGAACCAGCCCAAGGCTGAAAGTCTCGTTAATAAAGAAAACTAAACTTTAAAATAACAATGCAGCATCCTTTAGAAAGCGCATTACTGCTGCCAGTGTGGAGGTATCATCATCCAGCATGTCGCGTATGCTATTTGGAAGCCCGTGGAATTCCCGCAGGTTCTGATACTAAGGGCATACGCATAGAATGTGCTCGATTGAAGCTGGAGTTCTACAACCGACGTAAATTCTGTGGAACGGCGTTCCACCGAAATTGTGCGAGATCTTGGTGTGACCGGTCCTCAAACGCGACGCTATCTTCTGATCCCGCTGGTTGATCTGTTCTGTCCATTTCCTCGGCGTCCCTTTGCTCCGTCTGATGAAGAGGGAGCGGTTTTGGGCCCACTTTGCGTCCCAACTTTGCTTTTTTTTCCCGTACTTTGCTCACGATCCAGCGCTTGACATCGTGAAACGGTACTTCGTTGGTGTAGCGAGGGGTAGATGGTTCTGTCCAGCCAGAAAGTCAGCTTAAGAGTTGCCTGGTGCAGTGCCCCGGAACCCAGCAGAATACCGTGTTTGGTGGCGCGGACTTCATCGTCGTCTGTACCCAGGGATGAGTTGGGGCCTCGGATGTCAGGGCTTGTATGACGCTGTGTGAATCCGTGAGGACCACGATCGGTCGTTCCAAGGGCGTTGTAGCAGCAATAAAGATGGCAGCAGCTTCAGAAGAGAAGGCAGAAAATTGCCGCGGTAAGCTACAGCTGGTTGGTGCGATGTTTCCGGCTAGACCGATACCGACCCCGGCCCGAGAGCGAGATCCGTCAGTGTATCGGTGAGTGTGCGTGGAGTATTTTTCTCCTAACATTTCAGATACAGTCCTTTTCATGGCCACGGAATTGTCTCCGGCTTTGAACCTGTCCTTAATCCGGCTCTCAATTTTCGGTAATGGTGTTTGTCAGCATTTGTCTCCATGCCAGTGGACCCTGGCCACTGGTGGGAGATCTTCGTTGGCAGCCGTGCGGAGGAGTCTGTTCCCCTCGGCTTTGGTTGCGATAGCTGCGGTTATACGGAAGCGGATTGTTCGATCTATTCTGTCAGGAGATGGTCCGGATGAGATTCACTCGGCTGCGGCAATTTTTCTTGAATGTTGTTCAAAGTCAACGAAAACTCCCAGAACTCGGACGGTCTTCTTCAGCGGTATGGATTGGTCGTTGATTTTGATCGACGGTCTGGTAATTCTGTGTCGAGAAGGGCAGACATGGCACCTGATGCTTTTAGAGGCTGATAATTCAAAGCCTACTGAGTGGGCCCACCTTGCGACGGCGGAGACTGCCGCTTGGCCTCTCATCCTTGTACGTACTGGCGTTTGTTCGGTGGTGACGATGAAGATGTCGTCGGCGTAGACGAACACATGTTTTTCGGTAGTTGACGGAAGACTCCGTTCATCACCAACATCAGTTCCTCACGGCGTACTCGACGAACCAGCCCAAGGCTGAAAGTCTCGTTAATAAAGAAAACTAAACTAATTTCTCACGGTCTCATTTGGGCATAGGTACCTACCAGCAGCAGCATCTGGTAGAGGAAGTTTGCCCCATTGAAAAGCTTAGTTAGTTTGCGTGGGTATGTTGCGGTTTATGAAAAAAATAAAGTTAACATTTGGCACATTAGTCTTTTTCAGCCTGGTGCTCTAGATACAACAGATAAGAGAAGCATATCCGTACATCCAACTTTAACTAATAACTTTAACTTCTATCATTTTCTTCTAGATTTGTACGCCAAGGTGTACACCGATATGTTGGCCATTCCTGTCGTGAAAGGTCGCAAGACCGAGAAGGAAAAATTCGCCGGAGGTGACTATACTACCACGGTCGAGGCGTTCATTTCTGCTTCGGGCCGAGCGATCCAGGGTGCCACCAGTCACCATCTCGGTCAGAACTTCTCCAAAATGTTCGACATCGTGTTTGAGCATCCGGAAACGAAGGAAAAGGAGTATGTGTACCAGAACTCGTGGGGTATTACGACGCGTACGATCGGTGTGATGATCATGGTCCACGCCGATAACCAAGGTCTGGTACTTCCTCCGCGAGTTGCCTGTGTGCAGGCGATTATCGTTCCTTGCGGTATCACTGCCAACACTACTGATGACGAAAGGAAATCGCTGTACGAAAGCTGCAGAGAGTTGGAAGCCGAAATGGTGAAGGCCGGCGTTCGTTGCGAGGGAGATTATCGGGACAACTATTCCCCTGGCTGGAAGTACAATCATTGGGAGTTGAAGGGTGTTCCGATTCGTATCGAGCTGGGCTTCAAGGATTTGAAGAACAATCAGTTTGTGGCCGTTCGTCGTGATACCGGTGAAAAGATTACCATCAAACGAGATAAAGCTGCCAAGGATATTCCTTCTCTGTTGGAAACCATCCACGAAAGTATGTTCAACAAGGCCGACAAAGATCTGCATGATCATCTGAAGGTTACCAAGGTTTGGGATCAGTTTATTCAGTTCTTGGAGTTGAAAAACATCATTCTGGCACCGTTCTGTGGAGAAGGTTCGTGTGAAGAAAAGATCAAAGCGGATAGCGCTCGTGACGACGCGGAAGCTGATGCGGGTGCTCCGGCAATGGGTGCCAAGTCGCTCTGTATTCCGTTCGAACAACCGACTGCCATTGAGCAGAACGACAAGTGCGTTCATCCAGCATGTGGAAGAAGCGCAAAATGGTACACGCTTTTTGGCAGAAGCTACTAAAGAGGGATAGAGAGGTAAGTGACAATACACGTGTTTTCGGGATAATAATGTATTTAATCTCGCCAGAGTTGAATTTTAAACAGTTACTGTTTTCTTGACTGTCAACTTAATAACATAACTTCTACATATGTTGCTTGATTGAGAATCGAGGCATACGAACAGTTTCAAGCTGATGCTTGTATCTTACTAATAAACATAATTTGTGAAAGTGAACTTTAAATGGTAAAAAACTGTTTGCCTAGATCCGAAACGTCCGTCAATTAAATTAAAATAGGCGTGCTCCAGAATCATGTTCTACTGCTAGATTTTTAGCGATGGGCCCAATCTTAGATCCATAGGCCAACATTAGAGCTATTTCCCCTAATTGTTATTTTTTGAGTTTTTTCGTTTCATTACTGCGGCAAAACTATGAACCGTATTATATTAACATGAATTGGAGTTTGATTGCAAGGTCCGTGTGTATTTTGTTTCCTAGTGGTTAAAATTACTTATCTTCCTTATACTTTTCCCTTTTACAAAAGGTTTTCTCTTGCACTTTACAATATTGGTTAACGATTCGTTTGTACCCGTTCAATCGTTCTTGGCTTCACTCGCCACCTCCGGTTTGCCCGCGCCATGATCCTTCATTTCGTCATGATGTAGATCCACTGGAACCAAGTCTGGTATAGACGCGTCTGTAGCTGGATGAGCTTCGTGTATCATGGCTTCCTCACTGTCGTGAATTTGCTGCGGAGAAGACGTCGTAGCTACGTTCGGTTCCATTATAAGGAAATGCTTGTGTTGAACTGCGTCCAACTTGGCGTGTTCCCGTTTGATCATTTCTCGCAGTTCATCCTAAAAAGGGATTCCTACTGTTAAGAAAAACGCTCCAGATTGCATTTCAAAGCCACCACTATATATATTTACCCCCATTCCTAACTTGTCAGCGAGAAAGAAGCACCCATCATCACAATCACCGGTCCACGCGACGTCCCTTCGGTTACCGGGCAAATCGAAGCACAGTCCTTCACCAAACATCATCGAACGTAAAAATCCAAATCCTCCGTTACCGACCTTGTCCCGGTTTATCAGCAGCCGAACGCAATCATCGTTCACATATTCGACTAACGATGCAAATGGCTGTACTGTCAGGGATGTGCCCATGATGATCAGCAGATCACAGTCGACGAAGTCTTTATGCGGTAGAACGTGGAACCGTTCCGGAAGGCCTTCTCCGAAGAATACAATGTCCGGTTTGATAACCCCGTTGCATGAACAGGTCGGTATCTCGTCCGAAAAAATCTTTTCTGTAAAGATATGGAATACATTTTCAAATCTACTTTTGCTACTCAATGGCAAAAATCTGACCTTTAACAAACTCCAAAGAATACTCTGTTCTGCACTGCAAACAATGATTGGTAAAGAACGTTCCGTGAGCTTCCACTATCTTTTCTTCGTTTATTTCGGCAATGCGCTCCAGTGTGTCAATGTTTTGCGTATAGTGTCGTATCAGAAGCCCTTTCTCCTCCAGCAGTTTTACAAAATAGTGTGATGGCGTCGGTTTAAATGTACCCGGATAGAGTTCCTTGGCCAGCTGGAAGAATGGTTTCGGGTTCTGGTAGAAGTATTCCAACTCAAAGATTGCTTGCGGATATGGAAGGTTGTACTTCAGTAGATTGTTGTACAATCCTGTATCCGGTGACCGGAAGTCTGGTATTCCTGCAGCTGAATTAAAAATGAAGTGATTATCAAATATCCCATCTCCAATCCTAGGCTCTATACTTACAAGTAGAAATTCCGGCCCCCACCATCGTTACGATCTTTTTGAAGCCACCGTTCTTCCAGTGCTTGATGACCCCGTCTATGTCCACCGTATCCAGTACCCTCTTCCTGGGAGCACCATCCTTGTCGTCATAGTTATCAGTAGTGTAGAAACCCAATTTGTCCGAAAGGTATTGCCTAATTCTTTCAATGCTGATGTTGTCCGAATGTAAGCCACCACTGTGGTAATGTTCTTCATCTTCACTATCATCAAACTGGGAGAAATCCGGTTTTGGCTGCACGGATGATGGCTGTCGATCCGCTGAGCTGTGATTACCTTCACCGAATGCCACATCGGGGTTTCCAGCTTTAGTGGTTACACCATTACTACTGCTGCTAGCTTCACCACCGATCGGGAGTTTGTTGTTTAAGTTTTCCCTCATCAATTTTGAACCTTCGGTACCGCCAACGACATCTGGCATCGGATTTTCGGCAGACATAGTGAAGTTGTACGAACCACGAGCAAACGGAAGAAGCTTGGTGGATAGGTGCTTCCCGAAGATACTAAAAAATTTATTATTCAGTTTGAACTACGTTTTCTTCGGTCTTGCTTGGTTGGCGGACATAAACAAGATGGAAAATCAAGCTGAACAATGCATTAGGTCCTAAGTAACATTGATCGATTCTCTTCATCAACTTTCTCTTTCTCAAATAACTTGGGTACAGAACCGTTTCATGTCGTGTTTGTCGTATTAGATGCTAGCTAAAAGCTTCTTTTATCGATCTATGTTCTGAAAATAGCTGGGAACGTCTTAAGATGGCCGTGGGGATACAAAGAGAAAGTTGACGAAAAGAATCTGTCAATGTTACTAAGGCCCTAATGCATTGTTCAGCTTGTAAAATGATACCACTGAAAGCCCTGAAAGCCTGAAAGGTCAGGCGAAAATTTGACATTACATTTTAGCGGATGACACTGCAAACTAAACATTGCATTAGGTCCTAAGTAATATTGATAGATTTTCTTCGTCGACTTTCTCTTTGTATCCCCACGGCCATCTTAAGACATTCCCAGGTATTTTCAGTACACATATCGATAAAAGAAGCTTCCATCTAGCATCTAATACGACAAACACAACGAGAAACGGTTATGTACTCATGTTATTAACGAAAGAGATAGTCGACGAAGAGAATCGATCAATGTTACTTAGGACCTAATGCAATGTTCAGCTTGAATACGAATAAAAAAATATTTCTCGATGAACATTTCAAGAGCAAATTTTCATTACGTCGAATGTAACAAAGGTAAACAAAGTCGAGCTATCAATGTCAATCGATTCTCCTGCTATTACACTATATACTGTCCGAATATAGGATCAAATCCAATTTTTAAATATATTTGCCAGTCAAATTGCTTTTTGACGTAATCACCTTCCGATCAAAATAGTTTTCGATGTTACTTAAGTCACCCAATTTCTATGGAAATGCCGTTTGACTTAAGTAACAGCGCTGAGAAACCCGTGAAAAGTGTACGTTCGTCGTTTCGCTTTCTCATTATTAAAGTGAATAAATCGAACTGTTTGTTGCTAAGATGATTTCGGTAGTCCTAAAATGATGAATGGGCTGCACGTAAGGAGACGTAATTGATAATTCTCCCGAATATCCTGGTAAATACACTTTGACTTAAGTAACAATAGGGGCCACCAAACGACGTATAATAACTTTTGACTCAAAAACCAGTATTTTTTAGCATGAAAGCTAGCGATTTGCATTTGTATGATTAAAACCCTTTTTTTTTTTTTTTTTTTTTTAATCTTTATTTTAGAGATTTTTAGCCTGAGGCTAGTTCATCTCTTGATTAAAACCCTGCTAAATATGTTAAACATTTCTATCACTATGAGATTATATGTGTTTACTTGGAAATAGGAATAACTTTTCGGTCATCAAAACAAAACTTTATTTTTCTCGGGTTGGTGCGAATGTTACTTACGACATAATGAAAATTTGCTCTTGATTTCAAATGGTACTAACTAAAGAGCCTGAATTTATAAAGAGACGACACGTCAAAATTGGAACAACCGATTATCTGTCAAAGTCATAGGAAAAGTCATTCCAATCGAGCAGAAGACCTGTCAAATGGATAAGGTGTCGTCTCTTTATAAATTCAGGCTCTTTAGTACACTCAAAAAATAAATCACATTTCCAATGGAAAATATCCATTACACACTTAATCTAGCTCGGTAAAATCTCCAAAAGCCGATTACCTCGGCATTCTCTTTTGCTGATATCTCTGCAAAATATCTGTTTGTTAGCTGACAGCTCAGCAAAATGTTATTTGTTAGCTGAGTCTCGGCAATTGTTTTACTGAATCTCAGTAAAATAAATTGCAGAATTACTCGGCTGTTGGAATCTCGGCATAAATATTTAAGTGTGTAGAATTTCACATAACTTTCATGTGATTTCATAATTGGGAATCGCACTACAAAATCACGTGAACCTTATGTGTCCAATGAAATTTATGTGATTTATCACATAGAATTCATGTGATCATATGAATGTTATGTGAATTTCAGATAAAAATCATTAATTTTGCTATTGGAAAAATATCATGTGCGTTCCCAATGGAAACTATATGAAAACTTTTTTCGGTGTACTAACTGCTTTGAACGCAATGAGCTGGATTACCGAGGTGAAGCAATCCGTTAAGTTGTGTGAGTAAAACCCCTGTATACGATACAAGCAATTAGTGACGTCACTATCTGCTTCACATCTCTCTGTACCTCATTGGCGTTGACGGCGACTCTGTAGCTCTTTACTCCTATGAGAAAATCCATAAGCAAACGTCAGACTGTGCGTGAAACATGGCGGACTTTGTACTATATAATCCATAACCATTTCAGTTAAAGTTTAGCAGGGATTATAAACAATTTTTAACCATTTTGGGTAAGGTCAATTTATGGTTCGCGTTTATGCGGGTATCCTTTCACTCCACCGAAAATTCCCATAGGAAACTGTCTATATTTGCTGGAAGAGCAAATTTTTCGACGGTGCCGTCAACGCCAATTGCTTTGAACCATTCTCTTCATCGACATTCTTTTATGATAACCACTGCTATGCAAACATGTCTGTCGCGCACGGAACCCCTTTGGATACGGTTGTGTTTGTTCTCTGTTTTGTGCCTGTGTTCGCTTTCATAGTTTTCGGCTGCATTTGCCGGATTAGCACTGGCACTCTGCCTCCCGGACGGTTATACGTGTGTGAGTGGTGGTTTTCTCGCTTTCCGAGAAGTTTTAGAATCGAGAAAGAAAACATGATTCATCATGTTTGCAAAATTGCAAGCATCAGAAGATTTGGCGCTGCGTGGTTTGATTGTTTCTCCCGGACCAGAAATTTGTGGCATCGTGAGTGAAAATTTTAATTTCAGTTTATGCGCTGCAAGGTGTGTGAAAGAACTTGGCACGATCGGTGTTGATGTTGGTACACTTGCAACTATTTTTGCAAAAAAAAAAAAGTAAGGTTTTTTCGAATGAAATTGATATCGAAAGTGTACCAAAAGTGTACCAAAAGTGCTTCTGAACGTGTTTCGCAGTTGGGTGTGGTGAAATTCGCAGTTGTTTTCAGCGAAAATTCCGTATCACAAATTTGCTCACAGGGTTCCCTTTTTTTTGCCGTTCGACGACATCGGGAATGCGCTCCCGGATATATTGATTTGGTGAGTACGTTCCAGTTGAGGATTGTTCTTGTACATTTCTCGATTGCATTTTCGAGGGGACGTGTCTGCTTTTGTGGGCAGTGCGTTTGATGGTCGGTTTGGTAGTATCCTTTTAAATATAATGTCTCATGTCCAAATAACGTCGATTTTCGGTCTATTGATTCAAAACTTTAGTATTATATTTTCAAAACATACAATGATGCATTATGTCATTTCATGGCACATAAAACAAAAAGTGTGTGTATAGGACCCAATAATCTAGGTTATTTGTATTTTGTAAAACATCTTTATTTTTTATTATACTTTTTATTTATTACATATTTTATATATATTATATATTACATGATTATATATAAATTCATAATGTAAATTACAATAAATACTGGGACGGGAGGGAGCATCAGGGCATCATTGAAGTTGTAACTGGGCAATGGAGTGGAGTGCCAACCGGAGTCTACACAGCAAAAAAAAAAGTAATATGCATCAACGTAATTCACATGATGTACAACAAAAAGGATGTAATCAAGAAAAGTAGATGTATAATAACATCCATTTGGATGTCATATTACATCGCTCTTTAAATTACACCGAAACAAAATTACCATTCTCTATTACGTTGCATCTGTGTAATATTCACATATTAATAACTTAATTATTACACAGAATCAGATGCAACCAAGTCATTTCAAAATAGTTGTGTAATATTACACAAAATTTGTGTAATATCATATAACGTTGATGCTATATTAAATCTTGCAACACTGCCAGACTTCGTTCTGGATGATCATCCATGATGATTGATGCGTTTGTTTATTGTCGGGAGTGAAAGTTTTTTTTCGTGAGCGTCGAGCTAAAATCTGCATGTAAGTAAAATTATGCTTAATTTTGTTTTTTAATGGTTCAATCACTCATTCCGGTTGATTGAATACGTCAAAAACGCGAAAGGCCTCCCCCAAATAGCGAATCTCCACTGTATTCCAACAAGAAACAATTTCGTCTTCCTCGCCGTTTTAGCTTCTCTCACATGAATGTCATTTGTATCTTCTATCCTTTCAGTGACTCCACGGCAGGAACAGCTCCATCCGCATTGCTGAGCAGCACTCGTGCAATACGCCCACACACCATACGCGACACCCAATCACAGGTACTAGGTACACCGAAAATTATGTTTATGTAGCGCTGTATCACATGTAAATTTTGAAAATTACAGATGCGTCGTGTGTGCCGTAATAATATCATATCCCTTGACCGACAAGATCCTGCAAAACACAGGTGAGTGCTCGGGTGAGTGCTTTTTGAAAAGAAAAAAAAAATACTAATTGTATGGTATCAGTCGTATTAAACTGTATTAATATTGGCTCACCGGGTATTCCGGGAAAGCCGGAAAACCCAGGAATTTGAAATCACCGGGAGTTCAATGGGAACACCGGGAAATTTGTGCTGCCTCACAACAACAATAAAATTACTCGTATTTACGTTATCGTTATCCAATTTTACACTGAACTTGAATCAAAGAACGGAGGCCTAACATTTTAAAACGGCACATAAACATTTATGAACAAACTTTTGTAGGACCTTTACACGCAACCTGGATCGATTACGCATGCAAGCAATTAACCCTTTCCTTCACATGGTAGCACAGGTGATTCACAACTTTTCGATCCTTCTTTGGTTTGTAAATTCAGCTTTAAATAGTCAGCATTGATTTAAGCTTGATGATGAAGCAGTTGTGTTGCCAAAATCGAGATCCATCTGTATTTAAATTTTCAGTATTTATCATTCTTATCCAAAATTATTAACATGCAAGGTTAGAACATACATTTTGTCATACCTATGCCTACGCGGATCATACCAGGAAAATTTATTTCAAATTTAAGTTATGCCCTTGAGCACTAGTGCCATAACT